GTATACACAGATACATGCAGGCAAAGCACCATACACATCAAATAAACAGACCTTAACTATGAGGTACCGAGAGCTGGACTCAGCGGGTGAGGTGCTTACTGTGAAGCTGAGGACCTGAATTTGGATCCCCAGGACATACATTAAAAAACAAAGTCAGTCTTGTTTTCACGTGTGCCTGTGAGCTTTGTGGATGTGCTGCTTCCTTTTGTCAACTTGACATAAACTGGAGTCGCTTGAGAAGAGGGAACCTCAACTGAAGAACTACTTTCATTAGATTGGCCCATGGTCATGTCTGTAGGGCATTTTCTTGATTAATGATTGATGAGGAAGGACCCAGCACACCCCTGAGCAGGTATTCCCCAGCTACATAAGGAGGAAGGCAGAGCAAACCACAGGGCAAGCCAGGAAGTGGTCTTTCTCTGTGGCCTCTGCCTCAGTTCCTGCCTCCAGGTTCCTGCCTTGGACTCCTGTCAGGGCTTCCCTTGGTGAGATGGACTGTTACCTGGAAGTTTAAGATGGATCCTTCTCTCCAGGTTGGTGTTGTAAGTGTTTTATTACAGCAACAGAGAGCAAACTAAGGGTCTCAGGTCACCATCCTCTCTAGTCAAAGATTTCTATTACAATCTACCAAAGTGTGTGTGTGTGACTCTGTGTGTGTGTGCATGTGTGTGTGTGTGTGTGTGTGTGTGTGTGCGCGTGTGTGTGTGTGTGTGTGTGTGTGTGTGAGAGAGAGAGAGAGAGAGAGAGAGAGAGACAGAGAGAGAGAGAGAGAGAGAGAGAGAGAGAGAGAGAGAGAGAGAGACAGAGAGAGAGAGAGAGAGAGAGTGTGTGTGTGTAGGCCAGAGGTTCACATCAGGTATTTTGCTCAATTGCTTTTCCCTTATTTCTCTAGACGGTCTTCTCTCATTTTTCCAGACAGGGTCTCTCTCAGTGAAATTCAAGCTCATCAATTCTTCTAGGCTGGCTGATGGGTTCCAGAAACCTACCTCTCATCACTGGAATTGCAGGTGTGGGCCTTTATGTGGGTGCTAAGGATATAAATTCAGGTCCTCATTTGTACATGGCAAGGATTTGCCAACTGTCTTAGGGGTTTCTCTTACTGTGAAGAGTCACCATGACCACAGCAACTCTTCTAAAGGAAAAACATTTAATTGGGGTGGCTTACATTTTCAGAGGTTTAGTCCATTATCATCATGGTGTGACACTGTGGCATGCAGGCAGACATGGTGCTGGAGTAGGAGCTGAGCGTCTTGACATCTTGATCTGAAGGCAACAGGAAGTTAACTGAGCACTGGGTGTGGCTTGGGCTGAGACCTCAGAGCCCACCTCCACAGTGACATACTTCCTCCAACAAGGCCACACCCACTCCAACAAGGCCACACCTCCTAAGAGTGCCACTCCCTTTGGGGGCCATTTTCTTTCAAACTACCACACCAACTAAGTCATGTCCTGTGTATTTCTGCCTTTAATGAAAAGTTCTTCATGTGTACCAAGAGTTCCCCTTTTATCATCTGTTCCTTTAACAGATACTCATCTTTCCCCTTCCCTGGGACTATATTGGAGGAATGGCTGGAGGAGAACATGGTTTGATATGGACAAATGATTATGAAAGGGATGCCAAGGGAAAATGTAACTTAATTCACTATCAAAATATTAAAATTAGGCTGGGTGGTGGTGACTCATGCTTTTAAACCCAGCACTTTGAAGGCAGAGGCAGGTGGATCTCTGAGTTTAAGGCCAGCCTGGTCTACAGAGCAAGTTCCAGGACAGCCATGGATACACAGAGAAACCCTGTCTCAAACAGCAAAACAAAATAAGTATCTATCTATCTATCTATCTATCTATCTATCTATCTATCTATCTATCTACCTACCTACCTACCTACCTACCTATATATGTAGTAGAATATTATTTTAAGGCGTGTGGCTTTTGTTTATGTTGCATTTGCTTAACTCTGTGAAACTGTGTTACTTTGCCTGTCTAAAACACCTGATGGTCTAATAAAGATCTGAACGGCCAATAGCAAGGCAGGAGAAAGGATAGGTAGGGCTGGCAGGCAAAGAGAATCTATAGAAGGAGAGATCTGGGAAGAGAGATCTAGGAACAAGAGAGAAGGAGGAGGACATCAGGGCCAGCCACCCAGCTATACAGCAAGTCATGTAGTAAGAGTAAGATTTATAGAAGTAAGAGAACGGGAAAAGCTCAGAGGCAAAAGGTAGATGGGATAATTTAAGTCAAGAAAAGCTGGCTAGAAACTAAGTCAAGGTAAAGGCCAGGCATTCATAATTAACACTAAGCCTCCATGTGTGATTTATTTGGGAGCTGGGTGGTGGGCCCCCCAAAGAGTAAAAAGCAAACAACAACTGTAGCTGAAGTTTTCTCCAGTCCTGCCTGACCCACAGTCAGGACAAATCTCTCTCACTCTCTGGTCCCACAGCCGCTCAGACCCAACCGAGTAAACACACAGAGACTTACATTGCTTACAAACTGTATGACTGTGGCAGGCTTCTTGCTATCTAGTTCTTCTATCGTAAATCAACCCATTTCTATTAATCTATAAGTTGCCACATGGCTTGTGGCTTACCAGTATCTTTACACGTTGCTTGTCATGGCGGCTGCTGGCATCATCTCCTGACTCAGCCTTCCTGTTCCCAGAATTCTCTTCTCTGCTTGTCCTGCCTATACTTCCTGCCTGGCTACTGGCCAATCAGCATTTTATTTATACAGACCAATATCCACAGCACTTCCCCTTTTCTTTTTTTTTTTCAAAAAGGAAGGTTTTAACTTTCGGCAGTGAGGGGTAAGAAGGAGGTTTTAGTTTCAGATCTTAGCTACTGCTCTGACCTCTTGGGCTTTTAACTCTGCATTCGGCTCTGTGTTTCTTACTTAATAAGACTGTTACATCTACATCTGGCGCCCAACGTTTGTGGTACAACTTCACAAAAGAGCTGTTTGCCTGTGGCCTTGCGGGCCCCAGCTCAGGCCCCAGCTATAATCAGCCGGTTGTGGTGGTGCATACCGATTGGATTTACTGAAGGAGGCAGAGGCAGGAGGATCCCAAGTTAGAGTCCTAGGAGGCTTGTTGAGGAGAAGCTGCGGCCGGGACTGAGCTAAAAACAGTGGCGGCGGTGGTAGCGGCGGCGGCGGCAGCAGGACCGTGGAGGTGATGGCTGTTGCTCCGAGTTGCCAGCTGCTTCCCATCTTGATGGTGGCAGTGATGCTGTTACCAGGGATGAAAGGTTTACTGCTGCTTGTTCAGAGAAGAATTGCCAGGACCATCGTGTTACAAGAAAGCATCAGCAAAGGTCAGTTTGGAAAAGTTTGGAAGACAAATGGTGGGAAGAAATTGCTGTGAAGATATTCTCTTCTAGGGAAGAACATTCATGGTTCTGAGAGATAGACATTTATCAGACTGTGATTGCTCCAAACCACAGAGGAGGCACAAAAAAAAAAAAAAAAAAAAAAAAAAAATCTGCCGGGAATCATGACCATGCCTAACAGCAACTTTGAAATCTACAAAAGGATGATGGGACCCAACAGGGACTAACAATTCCACATGGACTACGATAATACCATTAAGCTGATTAACACCATTCAATGTTCGGTTTTGGACTATGAGCTGCACAGGACAATTTCAAGATGACTAGCTGAGATGATCCAGCCTGACAGACTACTGGAACAAGGACTTGAGACAAGCCCTGCACTTTCACATTATGCAGAGACTGAACAAATGATACAAGACTTGACAATTAACCCCAAAATTTTCTTTTCAGGATCCCCTAAAGATGTCTTCACCCCCAGAAAGCAGGAAGTAATTTTAAGAAAATGACGCCCACATTCCCAAGAGGTGGGGTGGGTATTCTTTGGTCGATGAATGACTTATGGATAATTGTCATTTTTTTATGATGGTTGATTACAAGTTGTTAATTGTTAATGGTCAGGAAAAAAGCTGAGTAAGGAGATTAGATTCAGAGTTTTGTTTTTAAAAAAAGAGAGTATAGATATGAGGTAGATCATTGAATCTACTCTGAGAAAAAAGATAAAGAAATAATAGAATAAATGGGTAGATCATTGAATCTACTCTAAAAAGAAAAAGGGGAAGATCTAAAAATGACAAAAGGTAGATTATTGAATCTATTATGAAAAGAAAAAAGAGAGAAATTGGATATAATAAGATAAAAAGGGAGATTATTGAATCTACTTTTAAAAAGGAACTACTTGTTTTAAATAAGATAAGTAATGAAATTTTTTTGTCTGAGTTTATCGAGTGTTAATGGACTAGACATCCTTAATGTAATTCTTGACTGTATATATTATATATACTTATTGGATATAGTTTTTCTTGTATTAGTTATAAGCTTTTTTTAATTTTAGACAAAAAAGGGGAAATGTGGTGGTATTGTGTTCCCCCAAATATTGTGCACTCTAATAAACTTATCTGGGGTCAGAGAACAGAACAGCCACAATATTAAACATAGAGGTTAGGCAGTGGTAGCACATACCTTTAATCTTAGCATTCCAGAGGCAGAAATCCATGTGTTCAAGGATACAGCCAAGCATGGTGACTCATGCCTTTAATCCCAGGAAATAATGGCAGGAAGCAGAAAGGTATTTAAGGCGTGAGGACAAGGAACTATAGCCTGGTTAAACTTTTAGGCTTTTGAGCAGCAGCTCAGCTGAGATTCATTCTGGATGAGGACTCAGAGGCTTCCAGTCTGAGGAAACAGGATCAGCTGAGGAATTGGCAAGGTGAGGTAGCTGTGGTTTGTTCTGCTTCTCTGATCTTCCAGCATTCACCCCAATAACTGGCCTCAGGTTTGATTTTATTAATAAGATCTTTTAAGATTCATGCTACAAACAACAACAACAACACACACACACACATATATGTACATATATATTAAAATTATTAACTTATTTTCTGTCTCTGCCACATACGTGGACTCTAAGAATTCCGAGGTCTCTTCATCTGCTACTGTTTTATTGCCAGCATCGAGCCCAGGGCCTGCTACGCGGTCAACACTCATGGAAAACCAATGGGGTAAACAGTGGAGAAGAACACTGTGTGCTGAGCAGTTTGCTCTCTTGGCACTGGGGTCCTTTGCAGGACTTGGAGCAGAGGACTGAAGTGATCAGGTATGGATCAAGTGTTTTCAAGCTGTCACAATCACTGTGAGTAGCAAGCAGCCTGTATTATCCCAAGTACTAACTGTGAACTGCCACGTGACATAGCATAGGGAGAACTCACTATGGTAAATATTAAAATCTACAAGTCTCCTGAGAGCAGCTGAGAAAGATTTATGAGGCACCTAGTACCCCTGACGCCCTGGAATTATCACCCTCTTTTCCACTTTCCTCCTTAACACTGGGCCCTTTAGTCAGCCGAACTAGCTAGGTAGAGACCCTGTCACAGTTTTGGCTGAGAGTTGGATACTCAGCCTGCTTTACTGTGGTATTTGCATTTCATACTAAATTTGTCTATAACATTATAAATTTCACACTCCTACATTTCTGTTATAACATCATAATCACAAAAATGACATTTTTGTCTTCTCTTTTGCAAGTGAAATGAGCATTTCCATATATAAATAGAGAAAAGAAATTGCTGGTCATCTCCCGAAATGGTTTAGGGGCTTGCTACAAGGCTGAGGCTTAAGGACTCAGTGTCTGGAAGGAGCCACATCCTGTGTGGGTTCAGAGTTGTCCTCAGGACTTAGGTGCTCTCCCGGCCGTTGACATTTCTTTCACTGAAACTGAAGGAGCTTGAGACAAGACACAGTTTGGGAGTCGTTCTCTGAAATGTTTACCATTGATTACTCTAACTACTCATACGAGATTTCTGGCAGCAGGAAGGTGCCTCACTAAAGAGTGTGTGCAGAGTCCTGCAGGCCTAAGATAGAGGCTAAAGACAGCTGGGAGAGGGACAGAGACAGGGAGCGGGGGAGGCGAGAGAAAGGGGGAGAGAGAGAGAGGGTCTTTGTAGCTCGTGCTCGCCTCAGAGTGGAAAGGATATGTGCAGATCCCCCCGGGGCATCATGAAGCAATACAGCCCAATGTCCGCTTCTCTAAAGACCAGGGTCACTTCCTGACATCACGTATGAAGATTCTAGTAACCGTAGACTATTATATGAACTCTTACCACCAGAAAGCTGACACTGTAAGCAAGCCAAAGAAACTAATGAACACATCTCAGAGAGAGTCAGGGACATGGAGAACTAGCCTAGGCGAACTTGAACTTGACATTTTTCTCCTCAATTTTATAACCCCAATGATAGCCTTAAAAAAAGATTCATAAGCTTGTGTCAATGTCTGTAAGGAGAGAGTGAAATTGTGAAACTTCATCTTCATTGGAGAGATGAATTTAGGGAAGAACCCAGCCAGAGTTAACATTGTTGGAAGAAGACATACTCTCTGCCTAAACGATTCCAAATCAGTGCATTTCAAGATTGTCTTGAAGGGACCTTGGCTTTGCTCTCTACACATAGGCTAAACCCCAAATGACAGGAAAATATAGGGGTTATTGGGGTAACAGCAGCTATTTTTTGCAGAAATCACTTGCAAGTAGAAATCCAGGGCTCCTTCCAAGTTCCAGAATCTTCTGTCTAGTCTGCAGATGCCTGGTATATTTCAGGCCTGTAATTCCTTCTAGTCTGCTCATCTTGATTTGCTTTTTCTCAGCACTGCCAACATTCCCCTTCTTGGTCTATTCAAATTGTCTTGGTGTCTTAGACTAGAGAACTTAAAAACAATAAAAGTCTATTGCTTACATTTCTGGAGACTGAGCCCATCCAAGGTTAACATGCCAGCATATTTGGTGTTGGGTAAGGTTTTGCCATGAATTCACCCCAAGCTTTCTCACGTGGCTCTTAACCACCTTTCTTTTTTTTTTTTTAAGACAAGGTCTCTCTATGTAGCCCCCACTGACAAATGTGGCATGTCTCCCTCACATGCAGATCCTCGCTGTGACTCTTTAGTTTCATGTGTCTAATTTGGAGTACCCCAGGAAGCCAAGAAACTAGAAAGGAGTTGGGTTTTGGAGTGGAGGTGACGGTAGCACATAGGTAAAGTGATAGGTTGTTGCTGAATAGTTGACTATGCAAAGATGTGTTACATAGGTAAAGTGATAGGTTGTTGCTGAATAGTTGACTATGCAAAGATGTGTTGCATTTGTTTAGTTATGTAAATATGTGTTACCTTGCCTGCCTAAGGCAACTTATTGGTCTAATAAAAAGCTGAATAGCCAATAGCAAAGGTGGAACTTGACGGCAGGGGGAATAAGTAGGAGGAGGAATTTAAGCTAAGGGGAGAAAGAAAAGGAGATGCCAGGGAGATGCCAGGAACCAGACAGGCAGACAGGGAGGAAGCAGGAAAGTAGGACATACAGAATGCAAAAAAAAAAAAAAAAAAAAAAGGTTGTTGCTAGAGTTTTCCTGCCTGGCCCACAGTCAGGACAAATCTCTCTCACCCGCCAGTCCCAAGCCGCTCAAACCCGATCAAGTAAACACAGAGACTTATATTGGTTACAAACTGTATGGCCGTGGCAGGCTTCTTGCTAACTGTTCTTACAGCTTAAATTAATCCATTTCTATAAATCTATACCTTGCCATGTGGCTTGTGGCTTACCGGTACTTTACATCTTCCTTGTCCTGATGGCGGCTCGCAGTGTCTCCCCTCCCAGCTTCCTGTTCTCTCAATTTTCCTCTCTGTTAGTCCCGCCTATACTTCCTGCCTGGCCACTGCCAATCAGTGATTTATTCATTGACCAATCAGCAACACATTTGACATACAGACCATCCCACAGCAAAAGGTAATAAGCCCTGAGGCAAAATGTAGATGAATAGAAACAGATTAAACTAAATTAAAAGAGCTAGTGGGACATGCCTAAGCTAAGGCCAAGCATTCATAATTAATAATAAATCTCTGTGTCTTTATTTGGGAGCTGGTTGGTGGCCCAAAGAAAACACCAACTAGAATAGGTGAGAGACAGAGAATACTGGGCGCAGGAAGGCTCATACAGGGAGAAGGATGAGGGATGGGAGTGGGTAGGAGAAGGTTAATCAAAAGAAAAGGGAATATGACAAACCACACTCAAGTCCACTGTCGGGCAACCCAATTAAAAAAATTAAAGAGGATTTGAAGGCAGTTATCATGCGAGGGTAGATAATGCCAGTCCTAGAAGTAAAGGCCACCAAACCGCCCCCCCAAAAAAATAAAAAAAGCAGTGACAGATATGGGATGCCTCCATAGCAGTTGTTGGTCAAGGGGGACTCAAAGCCCCCCCAATAATTCAGGCACTTGTCATTTCTCTTGTCTTCCCACCAGAATAAGATTCCATGACTGAAGACACCACATCCTTGACTGCAAGATGTAGAAAAGTCAAGCTGAAGCTGAGCTGTAAGTCTCCCACTGGCTGGCTGGCTTTCATAGTGCCAGATGATGCTGGGCAGGCCACTGGGGGACAAAGGCACTAGTGGTCTTAGCCTCTATGAACTCTACAAACTATAATGCATCTGCCAGGCAAGATGTGCCCATTGCTGAGACAGTGGCACAACTGTCAGGGGGTAACCAACTACTCCATAACTGGATAGAAGGCCCCCTCAGGAGAGGATCCACACTCAGTAATTAGTTTTTCTAATCACCATCTCTACTATCTGTGTGGAACTCTTTCCCAAAATTCATTTCAGGAGTTTAATGACCCTTCTTCTCCTTTTTTCACATCCCTCACTAATTCTAGATGCAGAACCCCCTTTTCTTTTCTTTTCCTTCATTAATTTCAGCTGCTGAACCACCCCCACTTCCTTTCTATTCCCAGATGGTCAGACAAGACCGAATCCTGTGACTTGAAGTTCTTCAAAGAAGTAAAATCCACATTGAAGGTCCCTCAGACTGACCTTGGCTGATAGAACACTATGATTATGGAGAGAGGGAATGTTACAGATCAGGAGCTAATGTTGGCTTCTCAAGATGCTGGTATAGACACAGAACTCTCCTAAGGATGAATCTGGTATGTAATTTCAGAAAGAGATGAGAAACATGGAAAGGCAAGTAAGGGCTGTAGTAGTAAACAGCATCAATGAGAAACTAGATACAATAAAAATAGTGACTATCGGATTCACAAAGGAAACTACAGACCCAGACTTAGAGTCCTGAGCAAAGTGGTTGGGGAAAGGGAAAATGCCCTCCCCCCAACACTCTGGGTCCTCAAAAAGAAGCAGAAAAGAGACTCAGCAGAAGCAAACAGAGCAATAACAAACTTTTAGACAGCAGATTTGCAGGCTATGTGATGTGGATGTGGGGGAAGGGTCCCAGGGTAGGTGGCGACAATGACTCCCAGATTCGTCGAACACCCCACAGGAGCTGACCGGACACCAGTCTACTCAGACAAAGGCTGTAGGATGGTAGAGAGGTAGCCCAAACCTAGATAGGATGAGAATGTCCAGCTGCAAATGTAAGTCCCCCCAGAACCTCAAACACGGAAACTCACGTGGGAAAAGTACAAACATCCTGTGCAGGTGGGAGACAGTAGCCGTCAGGGTGGATCCTGGCTTGAGGAGCCCTGCACATAAAGGGCTGGGAAACTCGTGGTGTGGGTGGGCAGGGCACGTAGACGCTGACTCCAGAATGCAGTAGTTCAACTCAGTGAAGAAGACATGACAGACACAGACAGCGTGCATCCAGCTCATTCTGGTCTAACCTGCTCCAGCTCCAGAGACACAAGCAGCTGTTCTTGCCATAAGCATCTCGGCAAGAAGAGTGACTGATGTTGTAATATCTTGTTTTCATTTTATTTTATTTTTATCCTCACTTCTGTATTAATTCTTGATTGTTTTCAGTACTGATTTCAGGACTGAAACTCAGTACTGAAAACAACTCAGGTATGGTTGTCCTGTCTTCCTTTGTGCCTGTTTCCTTCTTGTGTTCTTTCCTTATCCACAGCTAATGGTTGTCCTCTCATCCCTACATTACTTCCTTTCGCTCTTTCCAATCCCTCTTCTTTTTACTGCCTTTTTTTTTTTGGGTGGAGAACAATGTCTCACTGTGTATACCTGATTAGCCCGATACTGGCTAAGCTGTCCTTGAACTCACAGAAATCACCTCTGTCTCCTCAGTATTGAAATTAAAGGCAATGAACCACCACATCTGCTCTCTTTTTACTTCTTAATTATAGTTTCCCACAGCTTTAATAATCTTTAAACTAACATTATTCGTGAGGTCCAAATAATGGGAAAGGAGGAGGGTCGTGGGAGGGCGGAAGGCTGAACGCTATGCAAGGGCCTGTAGACAGATGAGACGTTCTTTATTTACTCAGGTGAAGGCTGCCACAGACCACGAGGCACATGCTGGCACACATGGGCTGCACACAGGGAGGCAAATGCACATGTAGACCAGAACCAAGGTGCATGGATGTAGACACACAGGCCTACAGATGGACACACAGGCCTACAGGTGGACACACAGGCAGGCTGGTGAAGGCTCAGACAAATGCCCTTGATCTCAATGCCATATTCACATATAAAACCCACATAAAAGTGGCATCCTGCCCGCCATTTCGTGGACGCCAGGGAACGGAGAGCATCTGCGGAAGCAGATCCCGAAGGGCGCGGGTGGGCCTGTCCGAGTGTTGGGATTTGAGCTTCGGCTGTTTGAACCCAGGATCTCGAAATGCATGGTGATTGCTGTCCATTAGATTGTAAGGTGTATGTAGGTAATCTTGGAAACAATGGAAACAAGACTGAATTAGAATGGGCTTTTGGCTATTATGGACCACTCCGAAGTGTGTGGGTTGCTCGAAATCCTCCTGGCTTTGCGTTCGTTGAATTTGAGGATCCCCGAGATGCCGCTGATGCTGTCCGAGAGCTAGATGGAAGAACACTGTGTGGCTGCCGTGTGAGAGTGGAACTTTCGAATGGTGAAAAGAGAGGTCGGAATCGTGGCCCACCTCCCTCCTGGGGTCGTCGTCCTCCACCTCGGCGAAGATCTCCAAGAAGGAGAAGCTTCCCTCGAAGCCGGAGCAGGTCACTTTCTAGAGATAGGAGAAGAGAAAGGTCTCTGTCTCGCGAGAGAAATCACAAGCCGTCTCGATCCTTCTCTAGGTCTCGTAGCCGATCTAGGTCAAATGAAAGGAAGTAGAAGACCAGTTTGCAAAAGAAGTGATGTACAGGAAAGAACTTCATTTGACAGGAGTATGTACAGGAAATTCAAGTTTGTTTGAGACTTCATAAGCTTGGTGCATTTTTAAGATGTTTTAGCTGTTCAAATTTGTTTTGTCTCTTGGAACGGTGACATACAACGATGTAATTCTCTATGGTTCCAAGTGGATCCTAGGAGGCAGGTAATATCAAGAAGTGTTACTTTACAATGGTCCCTTAACCAAGATTGAATTTGCTTTGAACTTTAGTTTAGACTGAAATAAACCTAGATCCTGCCCAGTTAAAGTGTGATGTGATAATGATATAGAAAGAGCTGGCAGAAATGGAAAAGCTGTAGTTTCCCCAGTAGCTGGGATACGTGTGGAGCTATGGGAATGATAAGCAGTCTTTAAACGCTGCTGTGGACACAAGCCAGCAGGTAAAGGGTGGGAACTGCACTCCGAAGGCTCGCAGAGAGGTTCCTCACCAATCACTATAGATGGACAGAAAGCTGTTTGTAAAGTGTTCTATCAGTTTAAGGTACATTGTAGAGCTGAACTTTTGAGTTACTGTGCAAGATATCTTTTCCATGCTGTCATTCGTAATATGTTTGTGAGAATCCTTGGGATTAAAGTTTTGGTTATAAATTGTTGTTTCACTTGAAAGCCTGTTTTTCCTTGCACACTCAGATCTGTGAGCTTGGACTCAAGTCCAAGTATAACATTCCTATTGGAAGCCATACTTACATTTTCTTGTAAAGTGCTTTGGATTAATAAAATACTAGCATACCTGTGTAGTGGTCAAAAAAAAAAAGTGGCATTCTGCCCAAAGTAAATACAAATTATATCACTGTTTATGTTGGGGTTCCTGGATCACCCAGTGTCCACCATTTTGTGCCGACTCAGACCCCCGGCTGTCCAATGTCAGTCACTTGGACCCATATCAGTGCTATAAATATAAAGCGGCCCATGTGCCTTCTGTTCCCTTCAGTGTCCTAACTCCTTTGATTCCTGTCTTTATGGGGGACATAACTGAAGTGCCAAGTGCTTTTACTGCATTTTAATACCAAGCTTGTTGTCAAATCATTATAGTATTGCTGCCTGCTTCTCTTCCCAGTGTCTTCCAGTCTGGGGTGTTTTGCCCCCACTCTTTCTTTTTTCTTTTTTTGGTTTTTCGAGACAGGGTTTCTCTGTGTAGCTTTGCGCCTTTCCTGGAACTTGCTTTGTAGACCAGGCTGGCCTCGAACTCACAGAGATCCACCTGCCTCTGCCTCCCGAGGTGCTGGGATTAAAGGCGTACTCCACCACCACCCGGCCCCACTCTTCCTATTAGTTCATTTTTTGTGGGTCTTCCACATAAAACCCCACTCAGATCCTATTCTCTTGTCTAAAAATCATCTAATAGGGTGATTTAAAAAAAAAAAAATAAAGCCGGCGGTGGTGGCGCTCGCCTTTAATCCCAGCACTCGGGAGGCAGAGCCAGGCGGATCTCTGTGAGTTCGAGGCCAGCCTGGACTACCAAGTGAGTTCCAGGAAAGGCGCAAAGCTACACAGAGAAACCCTGTCTCGAAAAAAAAAAAAAAAAAAAAAAATAAATAAATAAATAAATAAATAAATAAATAGATAGCTGAGTATAGTGGTGCATAACAAATCCCAGCACTCAGGAGGCAAAGGCAGGTGGTTCTCTGTGAGTTTGAGGTCAGCCTGGTCTACAGAGTGAGTTCTGGAAAACCAGGGATATATGTAAAGACTGTCTAAAAAAATAAAAACATTTAAACAAATATATAAGAGTAATCGTGCTCTAGCAGGAGGAAGTAGCCTTGCTACCTCCATCTTCTGCCCTTTCTTATGGTGTTTCAGCTGGTAAAGGAGTTTGCCTCTAATTCTGATGGCCTGAGTTTGATCTCTAGGACCCACATGGCAGGGGGAGAGAAGCCACTTCTGCAGACCGTCCTCTGGCTTCCACTGGTACACTGTGGGATGTGTGGGCCTGCTCCCCCAGTAAGTAAATAAAATGTAAACTACAGATTTTAAAGAGGGAAAATTGTACCACTCTTCCCCTTCCTTAAAATTATGGTGTTACCAAGGAAACAGAGGAGGGGCTTGAAGCTGATCATGATGCTGGGTTCCGCCCTCAATGACCTTCAGGCCTGCTAATTTCCAGTTAGTTACCCAATAGTACTGTTCACAATAGCCAAGTTGTGGACTCATCTTAGGTGTTCCTTAGCAGAGGGAAAGATAAAGAAATGTGGTGCATACACACCATGAAGCCTTATCCAGCCATGAAGGAGAATGAAATGCCATCGGCAGGAGAATGGATGGAATTGGAGACCATGTGAGCCCGACCCAGAAAGACAAATACTAAAAGTTTTCTTTCATAAGTGGAACCTGCACACACACACACACACACACACACACACACACACACACACACACACGGCGAGACAATAGAAGTAAGACTATTTTAGAAGAAGAAAGGAACTACGAGGAAGAAGTAGGAGAGAAGGGAGAGGAGAATGGGGAACGGATCTGGCCAAAGCACTTGAACAGAAACGTCGTCATGAGACCCATGGCTCTGTACAATGAATACATGCTGATAAGCAAGGGAGCCAATGTTACCTTTAGTCTCCTCAGTAACTACTTATAGCAACCTCTGTGTCTAACCTAATAGCTTCCCAACCTCTAGATAAAATTCTTGTAGTGTATTGACACAACTCTAGCCTCTACTACCCTGTAAGCTAAGAATGTGACACTAAGAGCTGAGGAGATGGCTCAGCTGGTGGTGTTCGGCACCTAAGTGTGAGGACCTGAGATGATCTCCAGAGCCATGTAAGAAAGCCTGGTGTCTCAGTCAGGGTTTCTATTGCTGTGAAGAGACACCATGACCACGGCAACTCTTATAAAGGAAAACATTTCATTGGGACTGGCTTATAGTTTCAGAGGTTTAGTCCATCATTGCCATGGGGGGAAGCATTGTGGCATGCAGGCAGACATGGTGCTGGAGAAGGAGCTGAGGGTCCTACATCTGGATTGGCGGGCAGCAGGAACAGAGAGTGAGCCACTAGGCTTGCTTTGAGCTGTTGAAACCTCAAAGCCCACCCACAATGACACATTTCCTCCAACAAGGCCACACCTCCTAATAGTGCCATTCCCTATGAGCCTGTGGGGGCCATTTTCATTCAGACTACCATACCAGGTGTGGTGCTGGGAGGTGGACACAGGGGGGTCTCTGGAGCTCATTGAACAGCAAGTCTAGCTGAATCAGCAAGGTCCAAGTTCAGTCAGAGACCGTGTCTCAAAAAAAAAATAAGGTGAAGAGTGACTGAGGAGGACTGACCATTGGTACCATATGCATTTACACACATGTGCATGTATGTTCTCTCTCTCTCTCTCTCTCTCTCTCTCTCTCTCTCTCTCTCTCTCTCTCTCTCACACACACACACACACACACACACACACATACACACACACACACACAAAGAGAGGCAGGGAAGCATAGGAAACAGTTCAGTAAACTGAGTCTCCACTTGGTTTGGGCGATACACAGACCTGTCTTCTAAGAACATGCTCAGCAGCCTAGGAACAGCACCTGCATGTACTGTGCATACCCCCAAGTAATTGGCAACATGTTAGCAGCCAAGACCCTCCCCACCTGCATCAAGCTGCATGCACAAACTTCTCTCCAAACAATGGAATAATTTCTCCTTCCTTTAACAGCCACCCAACATAGACAGTTTCTATTCAAATGTGCTCCAGTTATACTGGGCACAAAGGTAGGAGGACCAATGCAGCCTGAACTAGTTTTAGGTACATGTGTGATAGGGCAAACTGCATCCTCTGAAAGGATAGAGGAGAATCTCCTATTTACCATCTTATGTCTATGCATGTTTGGGTGTGCATATGATTAAAATCAGATGCATTGTGGGAAGAGACATGTATAGTAGAAGAAAAGGTTATATAATTCAAATCTGTCAATCAAAATATAGAACCATCCAATTGCATCATGTAGTAAACAGCTCCTTCTTTCTTTAGACCCCATAAAAGAAGCCCCAGGCATGAACTTGGGACCCTGAGTGTTCTCTCACTCCCGTGGCCCATTGTCACTCTTGTTAGCATAGTTCTGGTCTGTTCTATCATCTTGATTTTGAATAGCTTCCTGGCTACTTTGCAGTCTCTGTGTGCTTATTTCAATTCCTGGAATATGGTGCCAAGAATCCAGAAACACCTGATCCAGATAGAAATGACTGATAACACAAGACTATGATAACATACCAGGGCTGGAGAGATGGTTCAGCAGTTACAAGCACTGGCTGCTCTTCTAGAGGATCCAGGTTCAATTCCCAGCCTCCATGGGCACCAGGCACACATGGCGGGTGCACAGATGTACATGCAGGCAAAGCACTCAAATTCATAAAATAAAATAAATTTAATGAAAGAATAAACATCTAAATCCTGCAAAAGAAATCTCCACTATCCAAAGACCCCACCTGTGAATTTTCTTTCTTCTGTCACAATGGAAGTTCATATTGGTGGGTGTGGTCGAGTACGCCTCTAATCCCAGCATTTGGGAAGTGGAGGCAGGTGGATCTTTATGAGTTCAAGGCTGGCCTGATCTTTTTAGCAATTTCCAGGTGAGCTAGGGTTTACACAGTGAGACCCTGCCTCAAAAAATAAAAAAGGCTCATATAACTTCCTTCCTAGGGGAACATGCCATCCAGTGTAACTTGCATCCATGTTCCCAGGTCAAGGTCACTCATATTTTGTTGATAATCAGGTATTTTGGTATTTTATTAAAGCAAAATGGTTTATGTTGGCAACATATTTTTTTGAGACTATATATAGCCCTGGCTGTCCTGGAACTCTTGTAGACCAGACTGGCTTCAAACTCATAGAGACCCTCCTGACTCTGCCTTCAGGGCACTGGGATTAAAGGTGTGCGCCACCAGGCTTGGTGATCATATTGATAATAGCAGGACAAAAGAGATCTGCGTGAGCCTCGAGCCTTGCAAATCCAACCTACAGACAGAAACTGAGCACAAGCCCAGAGAGATATGCAGATGTTTTAAAACAAGTCCCGGCCCTCCCACAGAGGAAGGGATTTTTCCTTCCTGTGAGCGCTGGGAAGCTCAGTAGTTGCAGTAAAATAGTATATGAATCATAAGGAAACCTTTCTGCAGTGTCCTAGCTTAATTGTAAAAGGGAAGCAGAGTGAAAGGAGGAGGATAATAGTCATAATCTACGGACCAAAAGGACACAGACTATTTTACAATCTCGAATGTATATTAAAGTCCAAACTCAAATACTATCATT